TTTTACAAAACAAAAGTATCAGAAATATTATATTGCAATAAATCATAATGTAAATTGTGGATTAAAATTTATTGCAAATAAAAAAAATGATTCTATACTCACAACTGCTTGATTTAAATGAATTATTGATAAATGGTTTACACTTATGACGTCACGAAACCCTACTATGGCTTTTAATATATAAATTCTTATTGTGTTTTCTTGACTTAGTTAATAGTAAGGTGCACAATCCACAAATAAAGAGCACATTGTTTTACTCAAAGATTTGGATAAAACGTTAATCTTGAGTAATACTGAGCCAAACTGTTTTTTTATCATGTAATTTTTTTAATATATACGAGTTCTAGAGTTGAAAAAACTTAAAGCTACTCATTGAGGCGACAAACGAAAAATATTGAGATTTAAATTTATCCTAATTTATTTGAATCTCAATATTTTAAAAATAGAGTAAATGCTGATTATACAATGTTTGTTTCATACAAACAGCTCAATATGGGAAGTTTATTTTTTGCTAATGAAACAAACTTTGTATATTTTTTATTTTTAAATAGAATTAATATTAAGATCATTTTAGCCATAGTTTTTTAACTAAAAGAATGATTATTTTATACTCTAAGAGAAAGTCAATTAATGAACAAATTAAAACTGATGAACAAATTAAAAGTTTAGCGTTTATCCTAATTCTCATTAGTTTTAATTAATACTTATAAACAAGTTTAAAAAATTCAGACCTGTAATATTTAACTTTATAAAAAAAAATTAAGTAAAAAAATTATATTGAACTTGGCAGCAAAATATGGCAATGCATGCATTGGCTTTGAAAGAATAGATTCAACTAAAACTAATTTATAAAAAAATTGTAAAACTTTTGTGAGGTCTAAACTTTTGTTACGTAACTTATAAATTAGAAGTAATTTTTTGACGGTTTTTTTTAAAGAGTTTATTTATTTACCAAATAAATTTTTGTTTGATACATATTTTTATTGAAAAACTGCAAAAAAAAATACATAAAATATAGGGGAAGTGGGGGCATAACCGCCCCCGTAACGTTTGGATTAATGTTATATGAAAATATAAACGAAATGTGTTTTTTTAACAGTTTATTTTAATAACCACATCATTAAACTTTAAATTGATGCATTTAAGAAAAAAGTTGAACGGGTTTTGAAAATTTTATTACACAAAAATTACACTTAGTGAAAAAAACGGTTTTGCCCCCATTGTGAGGCACAACCGCAGCCCCACAAAAATCGATGGGGCTACACCTTTCATGGTACATTTTTTTTACAATTTTCACAGCTTAGATTATTTGATGATTTTGTTGCATGTTTGCAAACCCTAGCAGGCATTTTTTGTATTTACATTTTGAGTTTTGCCCCAGAAGAGAGATCTGTCCAAGAAGAGAGTTTTTTAGAAGAATTGAGTTTCATAGCTTAATTATTAGATTATGGTATTATCAAAAATGGCTTTCATTTCATGAAATAATGCTGATAACACATATCTTTAACACTAAATTCAAATATTGCATAATTATCAAAAAGAAGGTCAGGAAAAATATGATATAAATATAATATTTTTATCAAAATAAACATTATTATTCACAAATTCTCAGAAACTTAACAGCCACTCTTTTTGACATATGCAAAATGAAGGAAACTGTTTTACTAACGCGTGGTATGTTTTTTGCCATATTAGATAACATTTTTTGAAGAGAAATATTGAAAAACGGTTGTGCCTCCATATGCGGTTATGCCCCCACTTCCCCTATAATTTTTCAAAACAAATTTCCATTTAAAATATTGTGTTTTACAATTGCTTTTACTTAAATTCATTGAAGAAGTCACACGCTAATTTGGCAAAAATATGGCCGCCGTTTTCCGTATGTCGCCTCAATGAGTACATAGGCTCTCTAGTGATCCATAGATTTTGAGATTCTTTAACTGTCCAATTTGACCCTATGCTCAACTAGCTCCGCTCTACCCTACTCAAGAAAAAGGTGAGTGCTATCCCAGTGAAAAAAAATACTTTTCCCACATGGATTCCATGTGGGTTCAGTGTAGGATTCATGGGATCCCATATGAAACCCATGTGGGACAAGTTTTTTTTTTTGTGTGTTGTTTTTTTGTTTTTTATTTTGTGAAGAAGGGATGGAGGGCTTTCAATCCACTAGCCACGACACTGTGTATATTTATTTTCATCAAATAATATAAAAATATCATGAACCAGATGAACATTGCCTGATTTTTAAATGCTTTTTATAAAGAATATTGTTTGCATCTAAAAAGTAATACAATCTTTTATACGCAATGTGTTTTAATATTTTTTTAAAAAAACTGGTTAGACTAAATAGTAAGAAACAAATATCATTAATGTATAGTTATAGTTATCTTTAATTCGCATTCCCGCGTAGCTGTTCGCCATTACCCCACTCTCCCCTACCATTAGTTATTTTATTTCCAACTTTTATTACAAGTGAAGGAGAAGTTAAAATTACTTTTTGCTTTCCTGTAATTTCTTTCATTATTTCAAGACGCGTTTTAAGTTATGTTTAGTAAGCAATTTAGATTAATAATTAATATTTTTTTTTTAATTTTTGCGAAATTTATCAAACAGATTTTTGTAGTTTTTATAATTTTGTCAGGGTAACCATGACGACAATAAGATGTTAACTAAAAGATAACTAAATAACATGTTAACCAAAAGATAACTAAATAACATGTTAACCAAAAGATAACTAAATAACATGTTAACCAAAAGATAACTAAATTATAAATTATCAAAGTTTTCTAAAGATATAAAAAAAATTTGAATTAACGATAAAAAAAAAAAAAAAAAAAAAAGAAAAGAAGAAGATGATGATAGACATTCATTTAGCAATTAAGAATTTAGAAATTATTCAGCGAAATTAAAGTTGAAATTAGTTTTAATTATATTTCAGTTGATTTTGCGAAGATACTCCAAGAACTTCCAAAGTACTCTAAGTAGTCTAAGATACTCCAAGTAGTTCTAAGTACTTAAAGTTGTCCTAAGGCACTCCAATAAGTCCTAATGTGTTATCATAGAGCACCGAGTTCATTAAAATGCTTTTCCCTCTGATGATTTTAAATAATAAGATTGTAAAGATCTTTTTTATTTTAAATTAAATTTTTTGCTCATTCCTACAAAATAATAATTGCATTTTCATATAATTATTAAATATCATACAGTGTCATAAACCAATGACATATTGTGATGGGTTATAATAAATGCTAAGAGCTTTTAGGGCGAAGGTTTTTAAGGCGGAGGTTTTTAGGGCGGAGGTTTTTAGGGCGGAGGTTTTTAGGGCGGAGGTTTTTAGGGCGGAGGTTTTATTTATCTAGAGCTGTACAATCACTAATTATTGACAGTTTATCATGTTTCATAAAGTAAGTCACAGAATTAAAAATAGTTACGAAATGTAGTGGTTGTTTGTTAGTTTTTTAAAATGATATTATTATTATCAAAATTTATTTTGTCACTTTCAGCACTTTAAAATCATTAAATGTCGCTATTGTACGAGCATTTAATGTGCCAAAATATAATTTTGTGCATGAAATGTTTGAACTTATCGAAAATATATGTGTTACAGATGAAGTTGATACAAATATTTTAAAATAAAAAGAAAATTTTTTACAAATTATGTCAATAAGACCTTAGCAAAGAAGAAATTCTTCATTTTAAACAGCTTTTACAAAAAGTATCAAAATTTGAAAGAACGATTTACGTTGGTTCTTTTTTGGTTTGAATATGTCACCAATTCAATTTTAAAAAATATATTTGAAACGTGTTTCGTAACGTGGAAATGGAAATTCGAAATTCATCTTCAGATTATAGAAATCATCTTCAAAGTTTATTTGTCTCAGAAACAAATTGTTTTGCTGAAAGATCTTTTTTTTATTTGAAAAGAATAAAAACGTTTACAAAAAAAAATTAAATGACGTTTTACCAATGGAAATCGAACATAGCGTGTGTTAAAGAAAATTAAGTTTGAAGACATAATTAATACAATTGTAAATATAAAAAATTTAAAAACAAAAACAACAATAAATTAAACTCATTAATAATGCCATGCTTTGTATTTTTATGGATATAAGTGCAGCAGAGCTGTTTTCAAGTCACTTTTAAGCAAGTTTCAAGTCAAGTCTTAAGTCATTTAGTAACATGTCAAGTCAAGTCTCTAATCAAGTCATATTACGACCAAAAACTCCAGTGCTGGTGGTCGCTACATTAAAACAGTCAAATTGCATTTATAAAGTACAGCATGGTCATGATATTGATTATAAGTTTTAATAAATTATTATTAAGTTTATTATATTAAAGTTCATAGCTGTCAATATATAAAAAAAATTTGTTATATAGTTCGTAAGAGGTCATAATACACAATACATTTATATAAAACCTCATAAATTATTTAGCTTATTTACTGAAATTTTTTTATTTATTTTAAACAAAAATAAGTATGCAATCAACTTCGTGAAAACTGAAGTTATATGCAAGTTGCTTTACCGAAATTAGCAAGTCTCGAGTCAAGTTGCAAGTCTCCAGGCAAAATCTCAATAGAGCCTTGAGTCAAGTCACGGGTGTGATTAAAGTTGGACTCGAGTTCGAGGGGCAGCATACTCTTAAATCCACAACTGACTTTAATAATTACTCAAAGAAATAATTATCGCAATATTTACATAATTTTATTATTATAAATACAATTATTCTAGTTTTATCATTTTTTTTCTTTTTGCAATGTAACATTACTAGTGACAAAAAAAATAACAAAAAAAAAGTCTGTTATGGGTCTGCTATTGTTTTCTTGTGGAAGCTTCATCTCTTTTTCTTTTACTTCTTATCTTCTTTTCTTCTACTTAATCTAATCCTTTTTCAATATCATGATATACTTTTAATTAAATTTATTTGTATTACCTAAATGTACTTACAAGCAAGTTTTACATGTTATTAAGGAGCCAACTTTTTTTAAAAAACAAAGAAAATTGAAGAAAAAAATTAATGTTTAAAAAGAAATAGGGATCCAGATCTAGTTAACAAAACACATAGAAATAAATCTCGGATTATATTTTACAATATTTAGTAAACATTCTTTATGGTAGATAGAGTTTACAATAACATCCTTTTAGAATGAACATTAAAGATTTATATTTGTGTTCTATTTGTTTCCAGTGTTCTATTTACTTATTTTGAGTATTTTTTAATTCTCAAAGATTTATTTGATTCAACAATTATAGGAAAGATCTTGATAAAAACTCTTTTTTATATAAAAATATTTTAATTGGTTTAAAAAACGTAAATTTTAAAAATGATAAAAATTTACTGCTAGTACAAAATAGATTTAAAGAAGTCAGAACTTTTTTTAATATAATTTGTTAAATCCTCAACAAAGACAGTATCTTTTAATATGAAAGGTGACAGTACCTTTTAATATAAAATATTGAAGTCTTATGTACTACGTTTTATGAAATAACGGTTGTACTTCCTCAGCTTAGTGAGTTGTAAATTTACATACAAAGGCTCAAGTTGCAATCTCTGTTGATTACTTTTGTGTTTTTAAATGCTTTGTTAAGCATCACAATTTATTTAATACCTGTATCAAAATTCTTCAACTACTTTTTCAATTCATGACTATATTTATTTAGCCTGTTCAACAGAATGGCCGTAGTTTGGACAGCACTCATTTGGACATTGTTCTATGCATGACGTCCGACATATTGGAGGACAATAATCAGGGTCTACAGTTTTTCCTTCTGGACAATTAATTGGTGTCGGACAAAATGAACTAACTTCGTTAGTTAACGAAAAAGGTGTTCCAACTTGCTCTGATGATAAAGCTGAAGGCGCTTCTGGTAAAATAGAAGCTACAGGAGCAGCTGGTGAACTTAAAGATGACGGTATATTTGAAGCAACTGAAGCAGATGAAACTTGATTAGCTGGTGATGGTGCAGGTGGTTCTGGTACTATAGTTGTAGATTGATAGCCAGGGGGTACTGGATCGTTTGGATCTGCAATTGTTACATCAGGAGTGAAAAGCAAACCTCCAATCTGGAATGGCTTCATGTTTTCGATTATAATCTGAGGCTTTGGTTTTGCAGTTTGAGGTAAAGCAGGAGCAGGCGCAGGGGCAGACACTGACGCTGGTGCAGGAGCAGGCGCAACAGCTGGTGCAGGAGCTGGAGCAGATAATTGTTCGACTGATGAAACCGGAGCAGCTGGTGCAGAGTTTATTACCTGAGATGCTAATGTTGATGGTGGAGGGAAATTTATTATTTGTTGCGATAGTGTAATTTCTTGAGGTGAATTAAGTGCATGCGATGAAACTGAATTTAAAGGCGAGTTAGATTGGAAATCAGAAATACCATGAAATCCTATTGGAGCTGGTGTTGCATAGTTTGATAAAGAGCTTCCAGAAATTTGTGACCCCTGGTTTACAGCAACTGTTGATGGTTTATAAAATGCTTGCTGCATTTGAAAATTATTTTGTTGCTTTTGTTGAAGATTTATTCTCTGCTGTTGCAACAGTCTTTGCTTTTGTATTTGCTGTTGCTGTTGCTGTTGTTGCTGCTGCTGCTGCTGTACAAGTCTATTAGCAATAGAAGGCGCTTTTACATTTGGATAAGGTGGCTTTACAGAAATTTGTGGGGGGCTGTTACGAAATGTTTTTTCATTAGCAACATAATGTTGAGGTTCAACAGGATGTAAATTCAGAGGAGAATAAATTGAAGATGGTTGAGAAATTGGTTGCTGAAGATATTGAGCTCTGCCTCCTGCAAATGATGACACAGGAGCTAATGCGTTTGTAGAAATACCCGGTGATATATTGGAATCTTGTTTTATTGTAGCAGCATTAGGTAATGGCGATTGGTAATAAGGATTTTTATTTCCAGTAGTGTAAACATCAGCAGATTCCGCGTGGCTGCTTGCAATTGGATTAGAACCAGTTTGAATAAGAATCGTAACTGGTGGTTGATTAGGTTCTTGAGATAGATGAGAAGAAGGTGTATTTGAAGCGGCAAGGTTACTTTGTTGTTGTTGAGAGGGGTTTTGCTTTACTTGGTTGTTGTAAGTTTGAACCTGAACTGATTGCTGAACAGGCTGGGCTGGTTGTAAAGCAGGTTTAATTTGATTTTGCTGATTATAATTTGCAGCTACTTGTGCAGTTTGAGTAACAGATGGCGTAGGTAATACACTTGCTTTTGGATGTAAATCATTGTCATTTGCTTGATTAACTGTTGAAAATCCTGAAAAATGTGGATCATTTACGTGTACCATACTTTCAAGATATTTATCTTGTTGCGCTAATAGAGCATCAAGTTGTGGTCTGGGAAGCATTGAAAGCTGCTTTTTATATTGCATTGCTTGATCAATTAAGCTTTTTTCGTGATTTAAATATGAAAGTATGGTTGACTTTTCGCAGCAATCTTGGGCACATAAACCTGGTGCGCAAATTTTGTTGCAGAATAATGGACAATCACGTGGTATCCCTAAAAGTTCAGCTGCGTAAGACTCTGCCTGTTTTACCGCTTCCACTTGCTCAACCATTTTTTGGTTTTCTTCTAAGACTTGTAACTGTTTCTCAACTTTTTCTTCCAGTAAGGTTTTGTTTTTGTTACTTGAAGATTTACCCGTTTCTGCTGGAGTTTGAAATGACAGTTCTAATTTTGGAAGTCGCCTACTTCCAGGAGCACAACATCGATCACTGCAATATGGAGTACAAAATGTGCGACAAATTCCATGGCAACCGTATGGATTGTGACAACATTCTTTAGGGCAATAAGAATGACATGTCCAAAAACAAACCCATGGACATTCAAAACCATCAGGGCCTAAATGAAAAAAGTTATGCTTAAATAAAAATAAAGTGAAATTTTCAAAAGCATTTTAGTTTCAATTTTTATCTTTAAGAAAAAATTGAAATAATTTTCAAATAAACAATTTTAATCAAAATAATAAACAAATTCACAATAAATATTTGTATATGCTACTAGACCTCTTAAGCATCACTTCAGAAATAAGTTTATTTTTTATTATAGTTCAATTAATAATTTAATTTCTTTAAATTGTTATGCTATCTACTTCATTTATCTACTTTTTTTGTTATTTCCCTTAATATATATTAAAGTTGCATTTAACTTGTATTAAAATTGTAACTTTGTTCTTTATTAATCAAAAATATTATAAATAATATTAAATAAACATTTTTTTTTTGACTATTGGTAATCATTATGATGTGACAATGTTTGTGACAATGTGTGACAATGTGTGACAATGTTTGTGACAATGTTTGCGTTAAAATCTCTTCAACTGATAGTTAAAATTTTCTGTTTGAAATTTTTTGCCATTTTTTGAGTTCGAGCATCCTATTTTTAGACTTGGACCATACTTTTTTAAATTGGAATAAAAAAAAAGGTTTTTTGTAAGCTACAAAAAAAAAAGCTTATTTTTTTAAAAAGAAAAAATTGTCTCACAAAAAATTGTCTCACAAAAGATTCTCTCACAAAGGAATGCCTCACAAAAGGTTCACTCACAAGGGATTCTCTAATAAAAGGCTCTTTCACAAAAGGGGTTCACATAAAAGAATGAAATATGCATAACGTTGAGAAAACTTACTTCCGTTTTCCCCGTGAGAAATGCTGCTCGTATCGTTATCCATCAGAAGCTCTTCATTGTTATTTAATTTGTCATCGTGTTGACCAAAAAGTTTTTTTTTATTGTGCTGAGCAAGTGTAGATGGAGTATTGTTCATCATTTTTAATTTGTACTCTTCTATATCGTGTTGAATTTTAGAAACAATTTTTCGAACTTTTTTTTTATGATTTTTTGAACTTTTTGCGACAGACTCCGCTTTAACTTCAGAGTTTGCATATCCACTTCCTTCTCCGCTTTCGTATTCAAGAGATGTCTTTTTTTGATTTTCTAATACTTCTAGTAATTTTTTATCCTCAGCATTTTTTTTTTCCACTGCGTCAATTTGACTAGCAATGTTTTGAATTTGAGAAACGATATCGTTATTTGTTTTTTGTTTATGCACCCTGACTTTATTTTTTCTTTTCTCTTGGGACAAATGTTTTACTTTATCGTGCGTAGATTCTTTTTTAGATTGTTTTAAATCTTTTTCTTTTTTTTTTGTTTGACTTTTTAAGAATTCTACGTAACCTTTTTTCAATGTGCTTATTGCAATGGCTTTCGCTGAAATTTCGTATCGTGAAAGTCTGTTATTTTTGTTATGCTTTCGTACTATGCTCTTAATTTTTTTAACGTTAATTTTCTTTGTTAAGTTTTTAGGTTTTTTTTTAGCACTGTTTGTTTTTTTGTTGATGTTGGTTGTACCAGGTTTTGCTTCGCTGATTTGAATTTCACCGGTTTGAAATGCAAAAGAGGGATTAATTCCTGGTTTTGGAAAAACGTTGTTACCAAACTTATCGGCTTCATTTAAGTTTTCTTCGTGAGAAATTTCTTTTGAATTTACTTCTTTATTGCTTTCAACTGAAATTTTGTTATCAACTGCATTTGTTAGTTTATTATCCGAGTTTGGTAATTTAGTTTCGCCAGTTGAAAAAATTTCGTTACCATCTGATATAGAGTCATTCGAAGATTTATTTGTAATTGGTTCATCTGGCAACGGTTTAGTTTCAACCATTACAGAATTTTTTTGATCAGTTTTATCCGGAACTATATAATTGTCAACATTTAAAACTGATTCACTATCTGATTTATTATATAGTTCTTTGACTGGAAGACCTGGAAAATCCTCTTTTCCTAACATTGTCTTTTTTCTCCTTTTCTTTTTTTCTAATATTTTTTTTCTTGCATCGCGGGCGGCTTCCATTATATCTGCTACACTGCGGCCAGAACCGCTTATTACCTCTTCACCACTGCCATCACCTATATCGGTTAACTCTTCATCTCCCCCATATGCCCCCGGTAATTCAGATCCGATTAATGATCCAGACTTTTTAATAATTGTAATTTTTTCTGGTGATTGAATGTTGTTGCTGATTATTGCGTCATCTTTATTTGGTATGCTGAACCGTTTGCTTGTAGAGTTTTGAGATACTAATTTACCCTCACCATTGATGTGGTGATAATAAGAAGATGCATCTTTCTTTGGTTGTGAAGACGTTTTGTTTTGATGATAAGCGTGCAATTTCGAGGCATGACCTAAAAGAATAGAAAAAGTCTACTTCGTACTTGTTTCATCACATTAAAACTTTTGTTTAATAAAAAACTTCAAAAGTTTTCAATAATTACACATGGTCTAGTTTCAATAACAATACGATGTTTTTTTATTAAAAAACATGGTATTTTTTAAATTAGTTTTTTAGCTCGTTTTTCATTAGAGGAAGATGGGGCAAGAAAGCTTTCTTTTATAACAACTCGACAAAAAAATGAAAAAGTAAGTAGAGGGAACTGTATACATAACTTATTTATATTTTTAACATAAATTATTCATATTTTGAACATAACTTATTTATATTTTTAACATGATTTTTTAATAAATTTTTTTTTAAGCTTGAAAAAATTATTACTGTTATGGTTATTGTAAAAATACATTATGAATAGAGTTTTTTTTAAATTTTAAAGATAGTTTTTGCAATGCGTGTTTATTTTGCAATATTTCAGCTAAAGTTGGGGACAAAAAACGCAGTGCTAGCCGATCACTTTACCAAATGAGAAATTTATAAATACTACATTTTACTATTACATATACTACTAATACTATTACAACTTATTCTACATGCAATCTGAAAACTTACGCAGACACTGAATCGTTATTAAAGCAAAATATATAATGGTAAAATTTTTTTTTTTCATGACAAACAGTATAGCAAAAGTTAATGATTTTCAACACATTCGTCATCTTGTTCATTCGTCATCTTGCACTGTCTTCCCCTCAAAACAATCAAATACGGTTAAAAATAAGAAAGACATTCCAATTTTTTTTTCTAGGCTCCTATGATCAAAGTTTTTGAAACTGATATTATTAGAAAAAAAGTTAGGATTTTCACTATGCCCTACCTAATGTTTCAACATCGATCTAATCGACTACTTTAAGGGACGAGATTAATGACGCAGCCATAAGATAACATTAAAACTTTCAGCGCAAGACGACATATAAGGCCTCACCACGAAAATTATAAACATTGAGCTAGAATGCCGCGATTAAAATTGTTAAAATAAAAAAATATAAGATACGAATAATAGTTTAAATACGATACTAATATCTCTTGCAACATCTCTAATGGTTTTGGTATCTCTAATATATGACTAATAGCTCTTGCAACACTTATACATAACTCCTCTGATTTGCTGGAAATAATGTCACTAAAAAACTTTTTTTTTTACCTTTAGACTTTGTTTTTTCCGCAGTAACATCAGTAAAAACAAGCAATGCAAAAAATAGTCTAAATGCCCACATTACCGCAAAATATTTTAATAATGATATCACTTAAGCATCTTTGTTGTTTTCAAGATTATCTTATTTTTTTATTAATTTTGTAAAGTTTCATCTCAAAATATTTTCTACAGAATATGCGCGAAGATTCGAAGCGTAAAGGAACACCTGTTAAATAAGCATTAAACGCTCGCCGTTGATAGTTGGACGGTTAAATTATGTTTTAAATTATTTTTTGTTAATATATATAAGTTTTTCTATTGAAGTATTTCATTCAATATATATATACATATATATATATATATATATATATATATATATATATATATATATATATATATATATATATATATATATATATATATATATATATATACACACACACACACACACACACACACACACACACACACACACACACACACACACACACACACACACACACACACACAGATATATATATATATATATATATATATATATAAATATATATATATATATATATATATATATATATATATATATATATATATATATATATATATATATATATATATATGTTCTTTTTTTTTATGATTAATATATTTGTTAGTAAATGAATTTTTTATTTATTAATATTATTACGCGTATTTTTTATTTGCATAAAATATTATTAAAAATATTTTCTAATATCAATATCAACAATAACAAAACTTTTATTACAAATTTAATTTCAAATCTTTTATTGTTACTTAAAAATTGGTAATTTTACTTACAAATCTCATCATCGTTATTGTTGTTAATGTCGTTGCAGACATCAAGTTGAACAAATTAAAAACAAAAAACATTTTACTGTAAATCCAACAACCTCAGGAACAGATGATATTAATTATAACTAAAAAAAATCAATTATAACTAAAAAAAATAGTTTTGAAATTAAATGTTTTTTGAATCTTTTAATACAATTTTAACACTCATTTTGAAATACTTCTTTTTCTTATTTTTTTGAAATTTTCTGAAATCATTATCTAAACATTTTCCAGACTCATTATCTGGACATTTTCCACACTAAGACTCATTATCTAAACATTTTCCAGGCTTATTTTCTTGACATTTTTCAAACTCAATATCTAAACATTTTCTAGACTCAATATCTAGACATTTTCCAGACTCATTATCTGTTATTTGTGAAAGTTTTTTTATCTGTAATATCACAAATATAGAAACTTGATCAAAGGAGTGACACCAATAAAATGAAAAAATTCTATTTAAATTTCAATTGAAATAAAGATAATTTTTTTGAAATTTTAGTAACAAACACCTGTTCAATTCAAGAATGCACTGATGTAAAATGGAATGCTTCCCTTACTTCGAAGTTTAATTTTACATTTCCAAAAAAAAAGATTAATAACTCTAACTAGTGTAGATAGAAATTTTTAGTTTTTTATAGATGTTTGAAGTTTCTGTGTTAAAAAAGTTGCAAATATATTGTTTGGAACAATTAATACTGAGCTAATAACAGTTTATTAATACTAATGTTGCCGAATTGTCCCCAAACTTGACAATAGTAATTTTAAAAGATTAATGATAAGTGAACTGAGTTATTAAGATCATGAACATATATAAAAAACAGTTAAGGGTCACAAACAGAACCCTAAGAAACACTACAAACATGTGATGTTCCTTAACAGGAAATGCTGTAAAACTTTTTCCGATTTGAGAGGTAAGATCGAAACCAGTTTTTTTTTTTTTTTTTTAAATAAATTTTCAATTTATTTTTTTAAATAAAAACAAAAAATTCTAAACATACATCAGAGTTGTAATATAGCTTAAAAATGAATAAATGTAATAAAGTCATAAAGGCTGAAATATTAAAAAAAAAAAAAAAAGTTATAACGTTGTTGAATTAGAGCCAATTTTTTATAAAAACAATGTTTCGTCATTTTTTGTTGAGCATAAATGCAGATAAAAATATTTATTTAAAACAAAAAAACTTCATCAGTTGAAAATAAGAGGCTGCTCATATAGCCTGTATTATATAGCCTACATCATTGAATGTTACTCGCTGTTTTGATCTTCTGACTGACTTTAGTGAGAAGCGTTTCGTTGGGTAGGTTGAGGCATTTAAAATCCTCAATTGTACCAACAGTGACCCAACCAATTGATATTCTGGTGTAAAATGCACTGAGCCAACATGAACTTGATAAACAGGTGCTCCTTAGCCCACTCACAGTGATTGCAAAACAACCTTATTTTTATATTTTTAAATTACTTTTTATATAGACCACCTACCACTTTTCCGTAGCTGCTCAAGGTTGTCTTTACTTAGGAAAAAAAAAATTATAAAAAGCGATAATTTTAAACTTTTATTTTATTTCTCAAACCACAGCTATTTTACTAAAGCAATTTAAATTTTTTAGCTCTTTAAAATTTGCAATGTTTCTTAGTGTTCAATTAGACAAAAATTTATCATGGAAAAATCATATTGGGCACATTGAATCAAAAATATCATCTGCAATAGTTATTTTATGTAAATCTTGTCCGTTTCTTAAGTTCCGTTAAAGGAACCTTAACATTAACATTAAGATTAACAGCTCTTCTTAAAAGTTTTATTTATTTTCAAATGATCAGTTATAACTTGAATTATACATAACCGGATGAAAAATTGTTTCAAAAATAAAATAAAATAAAGAAAAAGATGATGATAATGCACTTCACAATAAAAGTAAGAAAAGAAAAATGGAAAATTAAAACAGATTATTTCATGGCGATTGGACAGAAAAAGACGCATTTATTAAAAAAGAAAATAAACCAATGTGGTTAATATGCAATAATGAACTTGCTCATAATAAGACATGTAATGTTGAGAAATACCAATTAAATTCATGTCATAAAAAAAATAAAATAGAATTGCTCAAAAAAATATTTAAAAATCAACATATAAATATTTCATCTTCAAGCAAAGAATCAAATATTACATCAGGACCAAGTTTTAATATAGCTTGAAATATTGCAAGAAGTAAATATCTTAATAAAATCAAAATTCAAAATGTTAATTTTAAATAATTTTGTTTCTCGAAATACAACTAAAACAAGAATATCTGAGATTGTGTCAAAGTTGAACTGCATTTTATTAAATGACTTAAAAAATTGTAAAACATTCAGTTTAGCATTGGATAAATCATTTGTAAGATATGTAACATCAGATGTACTTGTGAAAGAAGAGTTGCTAGAATTGGTAGAGCTAAAAGACACAACTCATGGAATTGATTTAAAGGAAGCCTTTGACACATTTTTGGAGAAAAGCTAATTCTTCTAAGAAAAAAACTTGATAGCGTTGCTACACATGGTGCATTAGCGATGGATGGAAAACATGTTAGGCTTATTGGTTTACCAAAAAGGTGATCCTAGTTGTATCCAGAGTTTATTCCAGTTTATTGTGTGACTCATCGAGAAAATTTAGCAGCAAAACATTTTAGTTTTCCAATTGTTTTTAAAACAGTGCTGGAAATTGTAAATTATATTTAATCAAATGCAAATCACAGACAGTTTTAAAATTTTGTTATTGAACTGGATCTTGCTGATAAACCAATTCACTTTCAGAGGTGGTTTTCAAGTTGCAACGTTTTTTATAGGTTTGTAGAACTTTTAAAATCAATTAAATCTTTTTTTATTGAAAAGCAAAAGATATTTGAAATCCTTGACGATATGAGTTTTTTGCTAGACATTTTATTATCAACTAATGTAATGCAGCATTTACAAAATCTGAATTTGTCACTTTATTTGTAAAGAAAAAAATATCTGATCTTGTTCAGACTATATTTAGTTTTCAAAAAAAAAAAAAAAGTCCAATTTTAGAAAGATCTTTACTTAAAAACTTTTGATCATTTTCCTCAAATGAAGAAGATGAATGCTAATCTTAAACTTAGATGATCATAAAGTTGATCATTTTCCTCAAATGAAGAAGATGAATGCTAATCTTAAACTTAGATGATCATAAAGTTGATCATTTTCCTCAAATGAAGAAGATGAATGCTAATCTTAAACTTAGATGATCATAAAGTTGAATCATTTTCCTCAAATGAAGAAGATGAATGCTAATCTTAAACTTAGATGAAGAAGATGAATGCTAATCTTAAACTTAGATGAAGAAGACGAATGCTAATCTTAAACTTAGATGAAGAAGATGAATGCTAATCTTAAACTTAGATGAAGAAGATGAATGCTAATCTTAAACTTAGATGAAGAAGATGAATGCTAATCTTAAACTTAGATGAAGAAGATGAATGCTAATCTTAAACTTAGATGAAAGTTGAATCATAACCGGAAAAATTAATTAAAATCTTTAAAACACGTTTAAAGATTTGCATGCTCTTAAATCATCGTTAGTATTTTTAGTAAATCCTTTTTAATTTGATATTATTAGTGATGGTTGTCAAAGTCCAGGAAACATGCTTAAAAAAACATCTCAATTTGAAATTGAATTATTAGATCTTCTAGAAAATCAAATCTTCAAATGCTGCATAAAACACTAACTTTATTGGATTTTTGGAAAATAGTTCCTGAAGTTATCAAATAAAAAGGATTAGTATAAAACTCATTTCAATTTTTTTTTAGCTTATACACCTTTATTTTTGACTTTAAAATTTATTAAAGTATCATGTCTAACTAGTGAACATTTTGAGTTGTTTGGAATATCAACTACAAGTTTAAAGGTTTAAAAAAACCTACTGGTGACGTCAATAGAATCTTATTAATTTTTAGCAATTATGCAAGTAATTATGCAAGGAAAATTTTATGGTCTTTTACAAAACAATTTATGTTATAAAAATAATTAGAAAAAAAAAACTTCAAACAAGGCTGTAAGTAACCACTTTTAGATCATTTTTATAAAATTTGAATAAATAAAAAGTTCTTAGCAAATAATTCAGATTTATCTTCAAATCAAATCAAATCAAATATATTTCGAAATAAGTTATAACATTTCAAGGAAATTTACAATAGTACATATACTAATATAAAGTAAATACCTCAATATACAACGTAACGTTATAGTCAATGATGAAAGTAATAATAATAACTGTTATTAATAATACTAATAATAGCAATAATAACAATAATAGTAATAA